TTATTTTTATTCTAATTTATTTATATCAAATTACTATTTCAAATTAAGTTATTTATTAAATTGGATTAATTGATTAAGCTTATAATATTCAAAACTCGATTATTCACAAAAATATCATGTTGAGAGTGCCTATCATATACTAGAGTGTATCACTGTATGACTATATCACATATATATATGATATTACTAATTAACTTAATCTTTACCCTTTTAATAAATTTTGAAAAAAAGTACACATATGATACACTCGAGTGTATAATGAAACTTACAAGTAAATAATGTAGAATCTAAATTGTTTGTGACTTTGTGAGTAAAGAATAAAGAGGTATGTAACATGTGAAAAATTTTATCACCTTAAGCTATCTTAGGTGGCACCGTGGCACACTATACACCACAATAAAAAAAATGTGGGTCATCTGTTTTCTTTTACCAAATTCATTTAAATAATTTTAGAAAATGTTTTAAAATCTTTTTTAAAATAGAAATTAATTATTTTTTAATATTAAAAAAAATATAGGAAAAAAGTCAACGAAATCCCAATCCACCACCGACGCCGACAACCACCAACTAGCCTTCTTCACCCACCGTTGGTGACCTATTATCTTCCCCAAGCCGGCCCACCACCTTCCCCTGCTGATGTCGACCCACTCCAGTACTCCCCTCCTTTTCGCTTTCCGCCATCTCCGGCAATCCATTATCAGCAATATTCGCCATCTTTAAAAGGAAAACCCGCTCCACCTTCTCCCACAGCAGGCAAAGATCGACTTTCCCCTTACACCGACATCACCGGCTGTAACACCCATCCTAAACTCTAAAGACCCACCTGCCCTAGTATATAATTTTTGGAGTTAAGCACAAATTTAGATACTTAATTCTTCCTTTTTTCACCGTTTAGGTACTTAATTTTTTTTACTTTGCTTTTGGGTACTGAGTTAAGAATTTAGGCCAAAAAAAATAAATCAGCCTAAGAATTCGGTACCTTTGGTTAAAGAATTCAGTACCTTGGTTAAGAGAAAGTGGGCCCCACCCAATTAAAAAAATTCGTGGGTCACCCTTATTTTTCTTCCCTTTCTTATTCTTTATTACCCCTTTTTGCTCCCTTTATTCTTTCCTTTTCTGGAAATTCTGCTGCGTCATTGTCGAAGAACACGAGCAAGTTTGGGCTCAATTATGGGGAAAACGACACCAAAAGCCGCCATTTTTTTGAGCTAAGCTCAATTGCTCATGGATTATGTTGATATTTTGATATAAATTTTGAATTTTTTGCCCATTCTTGATGTTATTTGCGACCTAGGGTTTTCGATTTTTGGGGGTTTTTTTGGGGACTTGTTAAACATCGCCCGCGTTTTTCTACATAAAGCCCACATTTTTTAAAAATTTTGACATTATTGCCCTTGTTTTAATTTTTACCGAAAATGAAAATTTTCACTCACCAAAAATGTGGAGCAGGACTGGATCGCCGAGTGAAACCGAAGAGCCCTCAACGTCGGCTAGATGCACCGGAGAGACGCCGTTGACGCCGGAAAAGGAGGTACGAAGCCATCTAAAACCACGAATTGGCGGCTGGCGTCCTGCCGGGACGCCGTGACCGTAGTGGTGGCGCCTAGCCAGGACGCTGCCTCCGTAGGTATGGCGCCTGGCCAGGACGCCGCCACCGTGGCCGTGGCGTCTGGCCAAGACGCCGCCACCATGAAAGCGGCGTCCTGGCCAGGCGCCATCGCCACGGTGGCGGCGTCCTGGCTAGACGCCACCGCCACGGTAGCGGCGTCCTGGCTAGGCGCCACTGCATTTTTTTTTTTTTTTTTTAATTTAATTTAAAATTTGTTTATTTTTTTTTTCTTTTGTGTTACAATTTTTTTTCGTTTTTTTTTTGGTTTTTTTTTGTTTTGTTTTTAATTGTTTTAAAATGTAATGTAAAATTTTGTGTTTGATTTTTGTGTTTTTGATCGCTATGTTTTTTATGTTTATGTTTTTTTTTGTTTTTTTTTTTTGGTTTTTTTTTTTTATTTAATCTAAAGTTTTGTTTATGTTTTTTATTTTTGTGTTTTGTTTTTTTTTTTTTTTTTTTGAATACTTTTTGTTTATGTTTTTTATTTCTTTGTTTGTTGTTTATATTTTATTATTGTTTTTGCTTTTGTGCTAATGTTGTGTCAAATGTATTAATTTAATCTAATCTTATGTGATTATATTTATATGTTATTGTTGCAGGATTATGGTGGAGACGGAAATGATTATAGTGGGATTTTTGTACACGATGGTCTGTTCGAAGATGCTCAACAAGCGGTTGATTGGGCGAAACATGTTGCAATTAGATCAGGTTTTTGTTTAGTAGTAGCAACTCATAAATCTCAACGGGATGGTAGAATGGATCGCATTTTGAGATGCGACCGTTATCGCAAAAGGGAGGAACGAGATTTCAGTCAAGCGATTCGGTTTGATACAAAGCGGAAAGGTTGTGGGTGTCAGTTCAGAGTAAAGGTTCGACAACAGCAAAGGGGTGACGGTTGGGAAGTGAAGAGTTACGGTAAATGGGGGTATCACAACCATGAGATGATCGCATATGAAGTGGGTCATCGACAGTTAAGTGGCCTAAGTCCTGGTGCGAAACTAATTGTAAAAGAAATGAGTGATGCTCAAGTGAAGCCTGCTAAAATATTAGCATCTGTGTTGGAGAAATTTCCTGAAGACCAGCCAAACCGAAGACACATCTACAACGTCAGACAGAAATTGAGGTTTGAACGGTCAGAGGGAAGGAACCCTATACAGCAGCTTCTACACCAGGCACAAGCACGTGGTTACCTGTACTGGTTTGAATCTGATGAAGACACATCGGAGGTGACTCATTTGTTCCTTGTGCATCCTGATTGTGCTGATATGATTTCGTCTTGGCCATCTGTGATTCTGATCGATTCAACGTACAAGACAAACAAGTATAAGTTTCCACTGGTTGAGATGGTTGGGATGACTCCAACGAACCAGAACTTTTTGATTGGTTATGCAGTTATGAAGGATGAGACGGTTGCGAGTTACCGTTGGGTGTTGGAGAAGTTGAGAAATTACATCGGCCCAAGTGTTCAGCCATCGGCCATCATCAGCGATTGTGAGGGAGGTCTCTTTGCCCCTATAGCGGAGCTGTTTCCGGAGTCGAGCCATTTACTGTGCACATGGCACATCAACAACTGCGTGAAAGTCAAAGCCTACAACCTTTTCAACAAGAACTTAGATTCAGCAGAGAGATTGGTAAATGGTAAGTGGCGGAAGATCCTGCAAGCTACCACGGAGGCAGAGTACGACCGAGCCTTGGATAACTTCAAGGATGCATACCAATGGTGCCCGGCAATCGTAGACTATGTGATGCAGCAGTGGGTGCCTCAGAGGGAAAAGTTTGTCAAATATTGGACAAACCAAGTTCTTCATTTTGGAAACACTACTACATGTAGAGTTGAGAGCGCTCATAGAGCTCTGAAGGACTGGATTGATTCTTCCACCTCTGCTCTGGATACACTGTTCGAGAGAATAAACAAGGCTATTGATACTCAGAGGAACGGCATCAAGAACTCTCTCGAGGACTCCAGACGGCGACATGGCACGATGTATAGCCATTTCATATTTAAGATTCTCCATGGTCGTGTGTCACACTACTGCTTGGGGTTGATTCTGAGCGAGCACACCAGGATGAGGGAGTTGGGTGATGAAGTGGCTATTCGGTGCGGATGTGCTATATCGGTGACTCATGGACTACCTTGTGCATGCACCATTCACCGCGTAATTACGCAAGATAGGGCGTCGTTACATGTTGATCAGGTTCATCCATTCTGGCGGACGCTCGTTATCGGAGAGCATGCCGTTCCACAGACAGTCAACCGTGAACAGGAGGAGTTGGAGCAGTTTCGTTCGATGTTTGACCAAGTGTCCTCCAGCCACCCTTCAATCATTCGTAGTGCTACCCACGTACTTCATGACATGTTCAACTCGTCGTGCTTGGATCATGAGGAACCTGAGGGGGTCGAGCGACCACGGGGCCGACAACCACGGCGGGAAAGGAGTGCGTTTGAGTACATTCGTGGTCGTGGTCGTGGTCGTGGCCGTGGTCGTACATCGTCATCAAGTGGTAGTCAAACTTCTTCGTCGGTGAATATGCCCGGCACCGGTACGGTACTTTAGTTTAATTTACTTTTTAGAGTGTTTGTTTAGTTTTCTGCTGACTTGTTAATTGTGTTTTTTGATGTGTGCAACAGGTAGAATGGACATTGAACATTTTCCATATAAAGACAGGATCCCTAACATCATGATGCCGTTCCTGGACGGGTGGAATGATGTGGTTGCAGATGGTAACAGCGGATTTCGGGTTGTGGCTGATGTGTTTCAGATGGGTGAAGACAACTACGGTTTAGTGCGTCAGTTGATGTACAGTGAAATCGCCTCAAACCGAGCTGTTTATCGCCACGTGTACGGACAGGACTTGGATAGGTCTCTGCAGCGTATCCGGTGGGGAGGAGGACGTTGCGGTCAAAATCATTGGTTCGACGCGCCACTTGATCTCTTCGCCGTTGCAAACATCTACAAGTGTGCAGTGATGCATTTCGGCCTTGGTTTGCATGGTGGAGCTTACTATCCATGTACCACGGTTCTGCCTTGGTGTTCGCGTGAGACCGTCACCAGACCGGTAAGAGAGGTTGCTATTGGATTTCTGGGGCCGTCATACAGACATTTCATCCGACTGGACCTGTCACCCGATTTTCCGGTCCCACCGATCATACCAACGTGGTACACCATTCGTACAGCAAGCGTAGAGGGCTGGGATGCGCTATATCATGACCGGGTGCAGCAGTGGAACAATCTAGTTGCCTTTTCTATGTGACCTTCTATTGTTATTGCTATGTTTTTCCCATTTATTTAATTTTCGGATTCTAATTTTCGTATTTAGTTTTCCCATTTAAATGTGAACTTGTATTTAATTTTCGTATGCCCACTAATTACAACTTAAAATAAAAATTATAAAAACTAAAAATATAATGTCAAATTCTAAGAACTTAAAATAATAATTATAAGAATAGATAATGTTAACTTTTACAAACAACTAGGAAAATGTTATATAAATGCACTGCCGACATATCAATAATCTCTCTGTGACGCCCACTGCCACTGCTCAAGGGCCCGTTCCAGTTCATCAATAACAGCTCTGCCTGTTGCAGTCGTCATGTTGTCCCTCTCCTCAAAAAGTCTGTGTCCCAACTGCGTCATCTTTCCCATCCACTACACATAACAAAACACATAAAATTCAATAACGACGTATTATATGAAAAAAAACACAACTACAAATGTTTTATGAGACGTACCGCATCCACGGCAGTGGGCGGTGGCACATCATCATCATCGGCGTCGTCGCCGTGGTGGACGTCTCTGATCAACCTCGGGTGCGAGTGCCGGTTGTACCACTCCATGTAGTGCTGGTCACACATGGCAGCCACCCCAGTTGGCGGCCGCTGCAGCTGCTCAATCCATATGCGGGCAACCATCGGAAACTGCTCCCACGTGCCAATCATGCTTGCCGGCCATTGGACGACGTACTCCTTCGACGACGCAGATCGGACGGCCTTACTGGGCCATGCTGGTGGAGGAGGAACAACTTGGACATATCCAAGCTGGCGAAGACAGCGCTGCGGCATGTACGCCTCTACGATCTCACGATACTGAATCCCACACATCGCTGCAAAACTGCTGCGATCTTAACACCGCCGTGATCCCACACACCAAGTGCCGTTGTGTACAGCGCAACCCTATCCACCGCCAACAGCTCCGCCAATAAATCTGCCTGATCCGCATCTGTGACAACAGATGCTCGGTTTCCCTCTACGGGAATCCCAAGGATGGCCTCGACGTCATGCAACATGATCGTCATCTCACCGAACGGAAGGTGGAAAGAGTTCGTGTCCGGCTGCCATCGCTCAACGAAAGCCGTGATCAGCGTCGAGTCAATCCTCTCATGCATGGTGGCAGGAAGGTGGCTCACTCTAGTGCCCCTCAATCGGCCGACCATCTCGCTCTCCTCCGGCCAAGCCTCAGCCCAACTACACAAGAAGTTACAAGTCCTCTCCCGGGTTTGGCATTTCAAAATGCCGCTATCCAAAGCCCGCTCTTGGTCCTCCCAAATACGGGTAGCGATGTGTCCTAGAAAGCTAGGAATCACACTCCCGTCTATAGGTCCCCCAGCCACCTCGCCCCTCACCACCCAAGAATCATTAACGGCCCTCGACCGTTTTCTGCTAACCGCAGACACAGTGGACGCAGATGATGTGCCAGATCTACTAACAAATCTACCATCTCTACCCTTACGCACGTCTACCCTACGCGTCTCATACACATCATCAAGCCTCTGACTGAATGGACCGTAATCATCATATGGTCCACTCTGATCGTCCACATCCTCATCTGCATCCTCCTCCTCCTCCTCCTCATCACCATCATCATCTTCATCATCCTCAGAATAGTGCACCCGTTCTCTACGAGCCGAGGCCGAAATACCACGGGATCTAACGTGTCTGGGCCCCGAGCTCTCCATTGAGTTGATCGTACTTCTCATAATGTCCATACTCTTCCCAGCCCCAGAACGAAAATACGATGCCTAACACAAAATAACAAAACATGTAATATGCAATATAAACATGTAATATAAACATAAAAAAAGTAATTAAAATAAATAAATAAAACAATATACATATGATGGAAAATAAATTAAAAACATTACAAAATATTAACAACCTAAAAATAAAAAAATTAATAACCTAATAAATAAATAAATAAAAAATTGGAAAAAACAAAGCAAAAAAAAAAATTACCCAAAAAAAACAAATTGGAAAAAACAAAGTAAAAAAAAAAATTAAAAAATAAAACGGAAAAACAAAAACAAAAAAAAGCAAAAAAAAAATTTGAAAAAATAATTCAAAAAAAAAAATAAAAGAAAATGAAAAAAAAAAAATAAATTAGGGTTCCGGCGCCTGTCCCAGACGCCAGAGCCACGGTGGTGGCGCCTGGGCAGGACGCCGGTGCCACGGTGTTGGCGTCTGACGTGGACGCCGCCACCGTGGTACCGGCGCCCTGCCCAGGCGCCATCACCGTGGCAATGGCGTCTGGGACAGGCGCCGGAACCGTGGTGTCGGCGTCTGGGCCAAACGCCGCCGCCCATTCGCCGCCGTCCAGCCACCAGTCGCCGCCGGGCCGCCACCTTTTCCGGTTTTTTTTTTTTTTTTAAAAATAAAAAAATTAACAAAAAAAAAAAACATACCTTTCCTCCTCCAAACCCCCTTGCTCCGGCCACCGGTGCCGCCACTTCCCTGCCTTGCCGCCTCGACATTTTGAAAAAAAATTTCGAGAGAGAAAGTGAGACTACAAAGTTAAGAGAAGATGAGAGTGTGTTTTTTACTAGAGTAGAGAGAATATAATTTTAGTTCGAGGGCAAAAGAGTCATTTCACTTTTAATTTGTGGGCTTTATGTGGAGATTTGCGGGCGATGTTTAGCAGTTCACTTTTTTTGAACAAATTGATGATGTCGATTTTTTGTGTTTTTTGTGTTAAATTTGTTGCTTCGTTGTTGTTTGTTGTTGGATTAAGCTAGCAGCAGGGGAAGAACCTAGCAGCAGCTTTTGTTTCTGTTTTTTTTTTTTTTAATTTCTAAAAAATATGGGAAAACCTTGTTGAAAAATTTGTGCCTAAATAGACATGGTGAATGAACCTGTTTTGATGATATTTGTTGCTGGTGTACTGCTACAGCTTCCGCGTTGTTGTTTTTGTTTTTTTTTTTTTTTTTTTATTGAAATTGAATCAGGGAAAATCGTTTTGGATGAATTTTGTTAAGAAAACATGGTGTGCTGCTAGTGTTTTGCAGGTGTTTTCATGGCATTTTTTGGCCAAGTTCATGCCCCTTTAATTAAATAGAGTAATAACGGCTAATTTATGAGCCAAAGTTAAGATTTTTTTTAAAATATTAATTTTTTAATTAGGTATGGTTAGTGGTGAGTTAGTGGTGAGTTAATTCACCTGAAAATCACTTTGAGTACCCAAAAGCAAAGCAAAAAAAATTGAGTACCTAAAAGGTGAAAATGGGAAGAATTGAGTACCTAATTGTACTCTTAACTCTAATTTTTACTAAAAATAAAGGGGACTATTTATTTTTTTATGGTCATGAAATTGCCACTTTAATAGACCCACCTTTTAAGTATAGTGATGAAAGTTTATTTAATCACCACCTCAGACCTCCCCATGTAACATGCCAATGTCTATTTGACCTTGTGACATTCCAAAGGAATACAACTAAAGGCCAATTTCATGCCAATTAAGTTGCTTGAATTCATAGAATTTGGATTAAACATAGTTTGGCTCTCTCCATAACCCCAACAAAAACCCTTGTGAATTTGTAGACATTGTCGCAGCAGTTACCAATTATTTTCCCTCAAAAACCACCATATTATCACCTTAAACAAACGCCAGAAAATGATTCTCACCTCCACAGCAATTCTCCAGAAAACCCCTTTATTCTTCCCTCATTCTTCAATTCTCTCTCCTCCCCCTAAATTCAACTCAATTTCACCAAACCCACTTCAAAAGTTCAACTCAATTTTCAGTAACAAGGAGTTGGGGTTTACTGAGTTGAGTTTTAAATTTATGGGGCAACGTTATTCTCGAATTTCCGCGGTTTCCGGTGGTGGGTCCGGCGGCTCTATCGGTGGCAATGGCGGAGGAGGGTTTGGTGGGTCCGGTGATGATGGTGTTGGTGGTGATGGTGGGAATCAGTCTAAGTGGAGTTTGCTTTCTTGGTAAAGTTTCAAGCTTGATCTTTAATTTCTTTTTTGAATGTTTTTAAAGCGTTGGATAATTGTATTTTAAGTGGATAATTGTGCTTAATTGTGTTATTATGGTTAGACACTGATGATATAATTGGTTTAATTGTGAAATATAGTGTATGAAGAGAGGTGAGTGTAAGTCGAAATCGAAGTGAATGAAGAAAGTAGCATGTTTATGTACAGGGAATTAGGGATGTGATTGGAAAATTATTTGAGCTTAGTAGAATATGACAATGAAAAATGTTGCATTGTGACAATTCAGAGTAATGAAGTGAAAAGAAAGTAATTGCATTGTGATGGTTCTGATATGTAGAAGGAGGTGGGTATGAGCTCGATTGAAGTGTAAGAAAGAAATTATTATGTTTGTGCTTGGGGAGTATTAAGACAATAGAACTCCTTCTCTTAGAGAATTATGTCTGCTTTATAGATTATTGACAATGATTAATGGCTGCTATATAATGTATGATTATCCAAAAATAAAAAGGAAGAAGGAAATGATGTTTATGACGCTAATAATATGTGGAGGGAGGTGGGTAAGATTGTGATTGGTGATTGAACTGGATGAAAGACATCGGCTTGGTTGCTTATATGAGTTATATTGAGACTTAATTATTTTAGAGTTCAGCATCTCAGGGAAATGAGCTGGTAATTCTTCTTAGCTGACTGTATAGCCTTTTCGTTTAGTCGTGTTGTGGCTACTGCCTATAAGATTCATTGGTTTTGAGAATCTTGACTTTGTCCATTTGGAAGTGAGGACTAAAGAAGGAAATTGGAAGATTCAAAACTTAATGCTGTTGGGCTGCGTAAATATAATGCAGTACTATGTATGAGCCATCTACTTTTATTAGCAGGTGCTGCGTCCCCTGATCTCCCATCGGGTAACTTGTCTATATGAGGTATTTGGTTTGTGGTGCTATCTTTACACAGCAGCAGCGAGTTCTACACGAATTTTTTTTGTCTTGTTGGCAGCAATGGAAATAAAAGGTGCTTGGTCAATAAAGTTTGATGACGTTGTTACAATTATATGGCTTTGTATATGATGAACCAAATATGATTGTTTCATTAGATTTTTACTTGATATGTTAAGTCTATCTATGTTAAATCTTTTAAAGAATAAATTATTCATAAAACGCTAGTATGCCATTTAATGGTTATGAACTTGCTAGTCCAAGACTCACGTACCCTTTGTTTGTTAAATTGATGCTGAGTGTTTTCAATGTTAAATTGTAGTCAAGTATAAACCTAGAAGCTTCAGCCACGAGATATTTGCATCAGGGTTTACTTGAGGTTTTTGTAAAGGCTGTACACAGGCTTTTGCGTAATTATGTATGCCTTTAGAAGCTAAAGTTTGTGTTAACTAGGAAATTGCTGAATTAGTGTTTGCACAATTTGTTTTTGAACATTTACCAATATTCACATGTGCTAATTCATTGGGTTACAGGTACATGGATCTTCTAGTGAAGTCTCCTGTCTTGACGAAAGCTGTTACTTCTGCATTGTTAAACTTTGTTGGAGACTTGATTTGCCAGGTATGACTTAATCGCTTCTCTGTTACCATTTTCACAGGGAAGGTTGAACCATTTTGTTCTTTTCATCCAGTTCACTGTGTATTTTTTCACAATCGTTGCCTATTTTTGATTTGGAGTTGTTGGTTTGCTGGACTAGTCTCATAAAAGACTCGTGTTAAATTGCTTCTCTTTTCAACATGGCTGGGTACTTGGGTAGTATACTTCATGTTGTGTAATTTTGTGTATCAATTTCTGTGAATGTTCAAGTTATTTAAGTTCTGGAAGTTTTTGGTAAACCTACTATGAGAATTTTAGTGTGACTTAGAGTTTCTTTAAGTGCATCTTCCATATGCCTCAATTTGTGTTTCTGCAGCCCTAATTGTTGGTAAGCTATCAAATTGTGCTACTCTTAAAAAATGGTGTTCGGTTTTAATGGCTTGCTTTAGTATGTGAGACGTAATTGTTACAGTTAAACTGACAGAGGCATCTTGTGCATACAGCTTGCTATAGATAAAGTCCCGACGCCGGATTACAAAAGGACCTTCATGTTCACCTTTTTAGGGCTGGTTTTGGTGGGTCCAACACTGCATTATTGGTATTGGCTTCTGCATTTAAACATCCTGTATATATGAATTACAGTTCTTTTGTGGCTTGCACTTATTAGTGCAGCATACACTTTATGTTTTCAGTCAATTCAGTGCAAATCCATTTTACTTTACTTTTGACAATGTTGATTTTTTTCATATGCTGTTTATGGTGTATATGACCTTCTAAATGTTGCAATTTCATGTAATTAGGTACTTATACCTTAGTAAGTTGGTCACTTTACCTGGAGCTTCTGGTGCTTTCCTGCGTCTTATACTCGATCAGGTTATTTCTATACTTTGTCTTTTGTATATGAACTTTTCTCTATTTATTTTGGTCTATCCTGTCGGAAAATTGTCATGGACTTTTAATGTTCCTTTTCTACGTTTGCAAATGTTACTCAAGGATGAATAATATGTTTTGCAGTTCATCTTTGCACCTATCTTTATCGGAACTTTTCTCTCTACATTGATCACGTTGGAAGGAAGGCCTTCAGAAGTTGTTCCTAAGCTTAAGCAGGTTTGTGTAGTTATTTTTTATTCGTTTTTCTTTGTCCTCTGTCCTTCCATTGCTTGAATAATCATTGATAGGCCCTGGGGGCTGGGGTTATTATTACTTTGCACCTTCAGAAATACAGTCACATTAATAGAAGTTAAATGCTTTCAGGAATGGGTTTCATCTGTGATTGCTAATTGGAAATTGTGGATACCATTCCAGTTTCTGAACTTCCGTTTTGTTCCCCAACAATTTCAGGTATGTAAATATGATATTGTGGAAGTTCATTTTATCTTATTTGTGCATAGTTTGCCTTCATCTTTTTTCACCTTTGAGGATGCTAAGAAGTTACCACCCTAACCTACCCAATGCTCAGTTTGCCTGAGGGTCTTGCTGGGCATCGAACGTAGATTTGACCAACTGAATCTTATCCTCTTTGGGAGTAGATGCTATTTATAAATGAAAATAAAAGAAACGAGGGAATTGAATTAATTTTGATGTGTTATCTAAGAGCTTTTTTTTTCAGTTTACATATCTTTTTGGTTTGCCTGGAATTAGCAGGAAGTTCCTCTTGTTTGTTTAAATATGCAGATGCATTAATGACCAATCATTTATCTGCATGCATTAATGACCAACAAAATAAATAAGTTTTAAGGCAATGTCTCTGTTTTACACCGGTGGCATTTTGTATAGGAAAATTTGTTAGAAAGGATCCTTTTAAGTAGACCTTTTGTGAGAAAGGACCTTTTTATTTATTTTATTTTTTTTAAGAAAAAAGGGCAAATTGGGACCTTAAATGATGTTTTTCTTTTTGTTCCTCACCTCCCCAACCACCATGTCCATCGTCATGGCGTCATCCCACCATTAGTCCAACACCGTCCGACCTCCACCACCACACAAAAACCCAACCCCACGTCCCCACCATATCCCTTACCTATTCCTTTTATTTGCTTTTACTCCCTCTTCCTCCCTGAGCCCACCACCAGCCACCTCGTCACTCTACCGAATACAAATTGTCACTTCCGAAACATAACCCCTGACCCCCCACACATCTTCAAGCACCACCCACAAACACCCCTCCCATTTTCCCCTCTCTCTTAGTAACTCTTTCTTTTCTCATTTGTGGCCGCATTATGCAAACCTACCACCTATTGGCGACCCACCACTACCAAACTCACACAACTCTCTCATTCCGTACCCTCCTTATTATCCCCATTTGGATGTAATTTTACGCTTTCTTCATAGTATACTTGTAATTGGTATTATTTGGCTTGTGGTGAGTTCAATGGCAGAGGGTAAGAAGTTGATTGGAAGAGATGATGATGAAGAGAGGGGAAAGATTTGGAGGGATGGTGGCGCCGTGGCGGGGTGGTAGTAGGATGGTGGGCATAATGATTGAAGAGGAGAAACGCAAAGAGTGGAGGTAAAATATCACACGATGGTCAATGCCGGAAATGAAAGTCAAAAGTTGGAATCCGGCAAAAGGTCATTTTTTCACAAGAAGATCTCTATTTAAGGTCCTGATTGGCCATTTGTTTTTATAAAAGGACCTTTCTCACAAAAGGTCTCATTAGAAAGGTCTTTTTTAACAAATTTTCCTTTTGTATACTAGCAATTTTACCCTCAATTAGTGTGTGATGTTTGATCCTCCAGAGTCACCTGATACTCCATATCTGGGGAAGTGCTAAGCACTAGTATCTTCAGTCCATATTGGACACAGACAACAAATAAAGGAATAGATACTAGTAAATACAGAGAGGTAATGAGAAGAGACAGAGAGCAAGAGAAGGTGGGATCGTGTGTGGAGAATAAGCTGTAATATTCACAGGGGTTGGGACTTCCGGAATCTGGATAGAGGGTGGGGACAGCAAGGAGAGAGAAAAAAGAGAGGCAATTATAGTACCACTTGAACAATATCTAGTACCATTTGAACATTTTAATACTATATGAGTATCATTTGAAAGGGAAATGGTAGTATGGTACCGATTGAAGTTACAATGGCACTTTTAGTGTGTACTCTATTAACGGTAAAAAGTACAATTTTGCCCCAACTGGACGGAATAAGTTGTGATCCCTCAGTGTTTCACTGGCAAATTGTAGTTGATTAAGGGAGAATCTGGCTACGGACATGACTACATGAGCATCACTGTGTTCTAGTGCTTTTAGCTCTTCTTGAAGACCTTAAAATCATTCAAGTAATAGGTGCAATGGGCATACTTTGTCAAGTATCAGCAGAAAGTGGGGTGGGTGGAGAGAAGAGAAGATATAGAACTTATTAGGTATTAGCAAACCATTCAATGTACCCCTGTATTTTAAACTTCTCATCAAAATCAGGCATCAAATAAGGTCCCGTATGGAGTAATGTTGTGCTCAACTGATTCTTTAATACACATGGTTGATTGGGGAGGTGACTATTACCCTGGTGTTGGTTGTGGAGAGGGAATTACTGTCATATCTTATTTTTATTAAGTCCTTTAAACTCATGATAGTCACTAACTAGTTTTGAGTTATCGGGCATAAACTTATTTAGACATCCCGCCAGGTTCAAACTATGCTTTGTTGTCCTTGTCTCATCATGATCTTGATTTCTTTAATTTGTGGTCTGATTTTCAGGTTCTCGCTTCCAATTTTGTTGCTGTAATATGGAACGTGATCCTATCATATAAAGCTCACAAAGAGGTGGTCACAAAATAAGTACGCATCTGAATCTTTTCTAATCTTTGATTATTGTAGCATCATACTTTTTACTGTGATTTTTTTCTTTCATTAACTAAACACAGCATGCATTCAGTTTCAGAAAATCTGCACTCGGGTTAGGTGATAATGCACTCTAAATTATGAATATGAAACTTCACTTGCCTGGGGCACTGGAATCTACGCGGTGCTATTACTAACGTTGATCTAGATCACTGACAAAAAATTTCAAATGTGGTGCTTTATGATCCTTAAATCTAAACTGGACAATAGAACATGCATCACATGAGTGGGCATCTTGCTGTTAAGGAAGCTGTTTTCAATTTGCCCTTGTACTTCCCCTCATCTCTCTGAGCTGTTGTGGAACACAGAAAGTCCGAGTGTCTTGCCATGCAAACTATTCTCATGGTGCCGAAATTTTCTTCATGGATCTTGATTAAACAGAAGCGTGTTGTATCTTTCAACTTTGTTGGTTCGCCCCTCATTGTATATCTAATTAGTTGGTTTAAATAACCTATGAGGATTATCTTAATCTCATTTCCTAGTATTCACATGCCTTCTATAACACGCAAATATTGTTACATAGTGATACACCATTACACCTGGGGGTCCTAGGTGTTCCGAAAAGAAGGTACACGGCTTTTTTCGACTGTGTGTGCACGTCATGCACCCCCCCCCCCCCCCTCACACAGGCACACACTAGATGATGTCTAATATATGGTCTGCTTCATTGGTGGAACTATTCTTGGATCCTTGTAGAGTTGTAGGTAATTACAATGGGAACGCAATAGATTTAATTCCTTGAGCATAAAATCTTCTCTTTGAGCTCATGTAGGCGGTCAAAGTGAAGGCGTCGTTTTTATCCAAACGCTATTAGCAAGCTAATCTACTTCTCTAAAATACAATTGCTCTAAATTTCTTTAATTAAGGCTCAAAGTTATGGGGACTATGAAATCGGGCAAGGATTTGATTGCGAAACGAAGTACATGCCCAAAGAATAGCTTATAGAAGAGACTTTAGACGTGATTTGTACTTGGAATTGATATGAAATCATCAAATTATGTCACATCTATAGCTAAAAAGGATTGAAATGAAATAGACATTTAACGATGTGATAATATCACGCTAATTAAGCGTCGTAGACTATGAAAAAATGTTTAACCAAATTTAAATAGGAGTCTATGTAATCAAATTATTGCGATGTGAATTTATTATGGAGTCTAATAATAGAGAGATGATATGATAGTGTAGACAAAATTCGATCACATGTCTCAGATACGATTCGTAGGACCTCAACAAAGTTGATTAGTATTAAACTTGTATTGCGGATTTGCGATCATCAGTCAATATTATGTATTCACATATTATTGTTACATGTCTTTTCACATTGATCTAGTTTATCTAGATGTCTATTGATAGCTTAACTTTGTTTTATTTTTCGGCTTATCTTTTCCACGTCTAAAATATGAATTTAGTTAGGCTAATATTTGTGTAATTAATGATGTCAACGATGATAAGTCAGCAAGATGTAGACCATTGGGCCTTTGTGGGCCTGAAAAGACACGTGTAACGAATTAAGCATAGTTAACTTGGCCCTTCTTATAAATAAGTGGGCCCAAAGTCTACATTTCTAACTTTCTACATGGCCCATTAATTTACTAGTCAATTTTAGGGAGTCCCCTACAAAAGAATTAAATTAAAATTGATATTCCTGTTTGCTTAAAGTTGAACAAGTTTTTAATAAAATTGAAAACAAAAATTTTAAAAATGCAAATATTAAATTGAGTTTTCACTTCACTATCATACGTAGACTTGTTGAAATTGTTCAACGAAATTTTTAGTCTCAATAATTATGATAAAAAGCGACATTTTTTGTACATTTATAAAATTTTACTGAAGGGGTCAAGACCTAAATTGTTGGACTACTAATTGTCTATTTGTCTTATTTAATGATATATATGATGAATACAACATCATTTTTTTTTCTAGAGATTAGGCAAAATAATATAAGTTTTCTACGTGATTAATCTTTTATTTCGATAATGAGATTTGCATTGTCTATAGATCACTTTTCAAAGTGCTTAGCCTTGCCAACGACGGAGCGGGTGGTCAATGTAATTAAGCCGATTTTCTAATTATTATCTCTGATCTAGACATTTAACAAGTACACAACGTCATATTTTGCTTGAAAGAATTTGATTTTTAGTGGTTTGGCTTTTCAAACACTAATCTAACTATAAAACTCGTTATATTTATAAATATATACAAAATTTAAATATTATACTCTCAAATTTGAACTAGTTAAACAAAATTTATCTTCTTGGAATGAATGGTATATAATTATCAAAATTTGATTAGTTCATAAGCCTTTGATGGATTAAATGATACAAGAGTTATTGTAATTTAAGTTCGATAAAAGTAATTTAAGTTCATGCAAGTAATTTAGTGTTACAATAAGGCCATGTTTGGTTTGATGTAAAAGGTTTTCATGGAAAATGAATTTTCCATTTTTTTCCTATTTTCCTTTGTTTGGTTTGTTAAGGGGTGGAAAGTAATTTTTCCAAGGGTGGAAAATTTCATCCTTAATGACGGAAAACATTTTCCTTCCCAAAACAAGGGAAGCCACATTTTCCTCTCTCCTCCTTACCTCTTTTTTTTACTTCCCTCTCATTCATCCTTACATTTCCACTCTTAATTTTTATTTTTCTTGGACTTTTCTTGTATGCAACCAAACAAAGAAAAACTAATTTGCAATTGTGTTTCCTTGAAAATATGTTTTCCATGAAAACTAATTTTTCATTGAAAATGTTTTACATTAAACCAAACGGGGCCTAAATCTAAACAGTAAATTGCTAGCACTACTTTTTGGTTAGTACCACAGTATCTTAATTAGTTCTAAAAAAGAATGACTTTTTACCCACTAAAGTAGATTTAATTCATTAATTTTAAGTCACCTCATCTATAGTTTGTGTACAGTAATCCTTGTTTGACGGGAATTAAATATAAATCATAGAAAAGTAAAGATATGGATCCAACCAAATGTCGGCCTGTTTATCGTACTGTATTAGCTTCAAGATTTTTAATTACCAATAAAAATGTAATCTTCTATCAAGCTAAGGTATGTGTATACTAATATGTTTATGCAAAATAATTCATACAAATTTTAATGAGTAACAATTAGTTTGCACAAGTTCAAACATCCTAATATATTGTGACAAAATGAACTCAGATAGTTCAAATCTAACACATTCCTGACAGATTTTATTGATTGATACAATCTAATACGTTTAGAGTATAACTGTTAAAAATTAAGGTATTAAATATAGTCATGTAGATTCTTGTTAAAATCGTTGTGATGTATGGTTTCTAAAAATCCATTACACTCTTTCCTTTTTTTTACAAAAAATAAAAATAAAAAATAGAGTATACAACGGTGTGACTTTTGTATGGTTTACTACAAAGTTTGACTTGTTTATTTTCACTAATTTTACATTAAAAAAATGACAACATGTAATATTTTATTGGATTAATCAAGAGATATAATTAATAATATAGAGTATCAATTTTTCTTTTTTATTTATTTAAAATTATTATTAAACAGTCAAAATTTTGCAATGACAAATGTGCTAACACTTGCATTTGAAAAGAAAAACAAAGAGATTAATTATACATTTATACATATAGATAATCAGAGATATTACAGTATTTGTCAAAGTTTTGCGTTGATAAATATATTGGTCAAATTAAGCCATTTATTTCGAACTGAAAGAGTAAAATCACATAAGTAAAATTAATCACAGTACGGAGTAATAAATGATTTATGAAATTAAGAATACGAAATTAATTAATATCCTTTCTCAAAATCATCACTTTACACACTCATCAACTTCCTCTTGGGGGAAGGGACCGAATTTTCCTTTTAATTTTTTTTTTAAAAAAAAAAAACAACTAGAAGAAGTGATGCAATGAAAGCGTAAGCATGACGTAAGCAAAATGTGGGACCCAAAGAAAGACAAATCCACCGCTAAATAGTCAGAATTTTTTTTATTTAAAAAAAAAAAGACAAAAAGGGAATGCACACAACACAAAAAAAAAAAAAAAAGAGAAGATGTCAACATCTGATTGTTTAAGAGCAGCCCCGTCTTCCAAGTCCAAGTCCCCCTCCTACTTGATTACGACTACTGTAAGTCAGACTGGCCCCACTTTTATCTTATCTTTGACCCCACTTTTTTTTTAAAAAAAAAAACGAAAAAAATAAAAAATTAACAACCATTTTTGCATGGATCTAAGAGGCATATTCAAGGGAGTATAGGACTATATTTGTTGTTGCATAACATGCACCATTTATACTAATAATAGTTGGCTCAAGTGTTAAGCAGCTTGATGCTATTTAGGGCATGTTTCTATTGACTGAACTCAGCTGAATTGAACTAAACTGAACTGAACTGAGCTGAGCTGAACTGAACTGAACTGAACTTATTAATTAGTGATTTCTAACTACAGATTAGTAATCTTTGATTATTTATTGATTATTTATTACTGTACATATGTGTATATACAAATGTACATATTAATAATAATAATAATATTATTATTATTATTATTATTATTATTAATTTTTTTTTTTTGAAGAATATTATTATTAATTTTGATTATTATTATTATTATTTATTGATTATTATTATTATTATTATTATTATTATTATTTATTGATTATTATTATTTATTGATGATTATTATTATTATTATTTATTACTTATTGATTATTTATTATTATTATTATTATTATTATTATTATTGTTGTTGTTGTTATTATTGTTGTTGTTGTTGTTGTTGTTGTTGTTGTTGTCGTCGTCGTCGTCGTTGTAATAAGAGCTTAAAAGAATGAAATTTGGCTTTATATCATTAGCAATATCATTAGACGTAAATTAAGAGCTGAACTGAATTGAACTGAATTTCAACGGAAGAGAATAGGCCCTTAAGGCGGTTTCGAGTTCGAGCCTCACCAAATGCAGAAAAACTCTTGTTGAGAGATTCATCTATCATAAGCCAGGTATGCAATCCGAGTCGGATCCGAATGTAGTCGGAGCTAAGCTCTCGTAAATCGTATGGGGTAAACTCAAAAAAATAAACACAAGGAACATCTATGTTATTACACGTATACCGTACACATGAATAAGTAAAATTTTACTCCGTAAAATAGTGTTATTGAATGATCAAAAGGTTCAAGAACTAGATTAAGATTGCTCCAAAGGAGCAAAAATAGAGTTATTACAAACAGTTGGAGTTAATGACACATCCCAGTGGTGCTGAAAATACAAGGCAAGTTCTTAAGAACACCCACGTTTATTCACTATCACTACTGTTGTTATAATGTAATTCGTCATTTCCTTTGTTTTTTAGTTGTAAGCTTGTACAGTGAATGATATATAATTTCTATGCTATGAAGTTGGAGACGTATGAACAAGATCACAACTCACTCCACAATACTAACTCACAAATTAAATCTCATCACACTATACAAAAGATGAATTAATAATTAATGGATCAAAAAAGGTACCCTTCATAATTAAACCAAATTCTTTATAAAAAAAAAGTAAAATAATCCAAAAATAGAGTTGG